CGGCTGTCAGAACGCCATCCTTTCCGCCTCTCCGGCTTCCCGTGCGCGCTGCCCCTCGGGAGGGAGCTCGGGAGGACACGTGGTGGGAAAAGGGAGGGTCCGGCCGGGAGCTGAGGGTGTTGGGAGGCGAGGGGAGGAGCGCGGCTGATGTCAGCAGGCCTCAGCGGCGCTTGGGGACGACGCCCGCGCGAGCTCCCGGACCCTCCTCCCGGCTCGGTTTCCGGCCGCTTCGCGCAGCGCCCTCCTCCTGGCACGCGGCCCGAGACGGCTCTTCGCTGGCCTTTAGGCTGATGGCCGAGCACTGGTATCCGTGCCCATTGCCTTCTCTTCTTAGTGCAGCCCGCTTCTTGTGCACTGTGTCTAACCTCTGCGTAGAGGAGGCAGGAAGGGCATGGATTTCTTTTTTTGCCGAGTTCGACGTGGGCTCGCACATTCATGGGCTTATTTGCATTCACTAGTGCTTTGCACTTGCTTAGAAGGCCACTCAAGGCACTCTTGCCATACTTAATGTGTTACGAAGACACGACAATCAAGAGGATGTAGGGGCCAAGGGAGGGTCCCGGATCGTTTTGACAGAATATGCTTGTTCAGACAGGTATATGTTCAGAATTTTGTACTTAATATACAGAGATAAGGAACTTCAAGAGTTTTGTGGTGTGTTGGAGCCGAAGATTTAAAAGCACTTGGTTTGTGGAAGGTTACAGTCTATAGCAGGAGCCATAAACTCCATTTTGAGTCTTGACATGAGTTCAGACTCCATTTGAGTTTTTTATGTTCCGCAGTGCTTGCTGACCATTAAACCAAAAAGGTTATGCTTGGACAAGTCCTGGCAAGCCTAGGGAGAGGTAGCTTGCCCTCAAGAAGAATGTGGTTGAAAGTAGGTTAAGAAATATGCAGAAAGATAATTGCACAAAGAACTAGGGAACTTGCCTGGGCATGTCCTTACACAAACAAGGTATTTAGACAATTATCACATATTTCCCACTCTAATCTTATGGTAGTTGGTAAATAGTGACTTAGTCATTTTTTTAGCAATTTGATTTGTAATCTTATTTATGGAGTCCTGGTATGGTGCTGTACTTGCATTGTCCACAGAGCTGCAAGCAACTCACTTGAACATCTTGAAAACAGACCCTTTTTATACTTGTTTCTCCATGGAATTACATGCTTGGGATTTAACAGGCAGCAACTGTCCTAAGGTAAAATTATGGCAAAGTTAGAGTAGAGAAGAAAAGAGGTTTTATTTCAAATAATGCAGTTAGCAAACACACCAACCTTACAGAAAACTCTTAAATTTGGACAGAGAAGCAACAACAGCAAACAACATCCTGAGTTGGTTGGTCTAGTTTTAATAAATCCTTTAATTTCTGTTTATCTGGAAATGCCCCAATGTCACTGATATTTTGGGGACTATTTTGCTGGGTATATGATTCTTGGTTGGCAATTTCTTTATCTTTCAGAGTTTCATATATGTCATCCCATTATTTTCTTGCCAGCATGACTTCTGCCAAGAAATCAGAGTTTAGTTTTATTAGCTCTCCCTTGTAGGTAACTTTTCATTTTTTTTCCCAAGCTGCTCTCAGAATTCTTCCCTTGCCTTTGGCTTTGAAAAGTTTTATTATTGGCTTTGAAAAGTATGTCTTGGTGATTTTCTTTTGGGGTCTATCCTGTCTGGAGTTCTTCATCTTCTTGAAAGCGTATCTTCTCATATTTCATGATGGTAGGCAAGTTTTCTTCCAACAGCTCTTTGACAATGTTCTCTATGTGATTTTTTTTTTTTTTGTCTCTTCCTGTTCTGGAATTCTAATGACATGTAAGTTATGCATCTTGATACTGTGAGAAATGTCCATACCGACAATGCTCAAGTAATCCAATCTGTACTCATTTTAGTGAGGTTGAGGTTTTCTTTATTCGATTTTGCAAAACTGGGTGCTCAACCCAGAAGACTCGCATATGAGCCACATAGCCTGCCACAAATAGTTTTTATTCTTGTCTCCAGAATACCTCTCCTCCAGTTCCCCATATACAATTCTATGGCATTGTTGGGGGTCCCATCCCAACCTCTGCACCAGAAAACAAAATGGCTTGCCCATGGTTTTAATGACTATATTCTTATTTAAATTTCCTAGTCCTACAACAGCCTGCTGTTGGATTTACCTCCTGGAGGTAAATCAACAGTCTGTCTGCTGGGTCTAGCAATCTCTTGAATTCCTGAAGATGGACCATGCCCACAAGAGTTATTTCTCACAATACTGCCCCAAATAAATCTTGGACTTACTTTGGAGTTTTTTGTTCTTTTTTATGATAGCTCCTCTAGCAAATATATATTGCAAGATTTGTCTTTAAATTCACTAATTTGGCCTTTCATTGATTGAAATCTACTTTTTTGCCCTTTCAATGTATTTTCCATTTCTGGCGTCTTAGCACTGATCTTCTGGCTTTCTTATTACTGTTTTTATATGGTTTCCAGTTTTTCTTTAATTTTGTCAATTTGTTCTTACAATGTTTTCTTGAATTATTTTCTGTGTTTTGATAAACAAAGTTTTGTCTTTATTTTCCTTGGTTTCATCTGCAGTTTTCTTGATTATCCTCTCAATTTGTTGAAGGTACCTAAATATCATTCTTTAAAATTCTTTGTCGAGTATTTCTGAAACAATTTCTGGCATTATATTTTCTGACTCTGCATTTCAGTCCTTGTTTGAGAAACTCTGTCTTGTTTCTTTATGTAAACTGAAATAATCTGTTGCCATTGTATTTATATTGTATTGATGATTGTATGTTGATATGTTCTCAGCACTCACTGCCTGTCTCCTCATGGACAAGATAGAGACTGAAAACACAGTTCACTGTTTTCCATTTGTGTAATTGTTCAAGGAGGGTTCATGCACCTTCAGACACTGAGTTGATATGCCTAGCATCCAACCCCAGGAAGTGTAGAAGCTTCCCAGGAGAGAATGACACTGCCTGCAGGACTGGTGAACGTGGAAACTGGCCATACCCTTGGCTACCAGAAGGGTGCATGGTACAAGAGAGAGGCAAAACCCCTTTGTTGTCCTACTCCATCTATGTCCTGTGCCTCCAGGCCACTGTATTGACAGCCACCAGTAGAAGTTCAAGATGGCTGTAAGCCAGCTGACAGGCCAGCTGATTTTCTTCTCTTTCACTGCTCCTGTTCAATTTCTTCCAGTTGGCACTCAGTACACCTGTCTCGGTTCTGGAATCATCCAAATCTGTTTCACCCATGTCCTTTTTGCAGAGGGTCTGCTCCTCCACCTTTTTTTGCCCCGTAACCAGTTTTCTGCAATTTGATTATGGTATGCTTAGGTGAAACTTTTTGGTACTTATCCTGCTTGTTAAATGCTATAGAGTTTGTTCTGACTCATAGTTACCCTGTATAGGGTTTCCGAGAAGCAGCTGGTAGGTTTGAGCAGCCAACCTGTGGTTCATAATTCAGTGCT